TTATATTTGCGTAAAGAAATTTACGCAGATACCGCGGTAATACCGTACCGTGAATAACACTAATAATAAGTACCCTCCATGAATAATTCCACGGTTTCAGTTCCGGAACTGGAACTTCTCCATCACTCCTATTAAGCTATATTTATTAAATTGAGAGCTATTGTAAAAGTAAGAAAGCTTTTTCCTCAAAAATCCTTGTAAATCAAGCATTCTCGATTTCACCATTGTCTACAAAATTTTTTGATTGGAATAGAGAGATAGTCTTTCGCAAATAGTGGAGGTAGACAAAAAGGAAAAAATTGAGTTAAATTTATTTCATGTGTTAAGTGTCAAATTGGCTTGCTCTATCTAAGGACATACGTCCCATGAAAGTCTATGCGTCCCAAAATTAATTTTCGAAGAAAGCTTTCTTATTCTTACATTCGCTGCCAATTCAATATATCCTAATACACACTAAAGTTAATATCAAAAATTTTAATTAAAAAAATTAAAAACTTGAAAATTCGCTATTACATAGATTTATGGTACCAAACTGAACCTATTGCAAATATAAATGGTGGTAAATATTTTAATTATGAAACATGCCAATGAGGGTAAAAGACCATTTTTGTTTCCAATAGGCTAAGTTTAGTACCATAAAACTAACACAAAGACTGATTATTTTCGCCATAGTTTTATTGCATAAAATTTCTTTACTGGCCATAAACCTTACAAAATTTTTAGGATTTTACTATCTTTATTTCTTAGCGCCTCAGCACGCTGAAAGGAATCGAATGGTATACAATTAGAGTTTTAAGCTCTCATATACATACAGGGTGACCAGAAAGTAATTGCACAGCTTATTTATGCCATAACTTTATTCAGTATTTAAATATAGGGATCAAATAAAGTTTAAGTGATAGAGAATTAAATAAGGAACAGCATTAATCAAGAATTTTTGAAGTACCCACCCCTTACCTTAACACAGAGTCGAAGGCGCGCGAAAAAATTTAGTGCAATAGTTCGCACCTACTAGGGTAAGAGTTTCTCCCATTACTGGATTGGTGATTGCAGTATCGACTCTAAACTTTTGGGTTATTAATAACAGATAGTTGCCTCAAAAATACCAAAACGTATAAAAAATTTAAGATGAAAATTATTTTTATTTTCATTATTTTATTTATTAATTCATTATTATGGAATTTTATTTCCATGGGTGGTTCTTCCCGACATAAAGGAGAAGGGTCGTCATCTAAAAGGCAATACATGCAAGAATATGACAATAAAATTAAAAATAATTTGGACTATCTAAAAAATAAAAATAACTGTACTGGTGTGATCGAAAAAGAAATTAATCCAAATGGAGAAACACAGATAGACTTGATTGGATATTATTTGAACAAAAATAAAATATTCGGCGAAGCCTGGGAGCAAGCAAAAAATAAAAAAGAAAAACGATTGTTTAATCGCTTCGAAAATGAGGAATATAAGGTAATAAGTACGGATGGGATTTATATGGATTTCCATATTTTTTTCCTGGCTTAGTTGGGTCGCGAAACGCACGAAAAACGTTGTTTTAACATATGTTGATAAGACTGATAATGAGTTATCAATCCATATTTTCCATATTTGATCCATATTTCGTCATTTTTTGTAAAATTTTGCCAAAAGTAGTTAATCAAAATTTTCAGGAATTTTGGAATTTTTTTGTTGCAAAAATTTAAAAAAATTTAGAAGAAATTTTTTAAAAAAATTATTTGGTAAAAATTTCTCGAAAAAATTTTCTGATCAACTATTATCAAATTATTTCCCCTGAAAACACTTTTAATGTACCTTTAATTGAAAAAAATACCATTAAAACACTTTAAATGAACAAAATCAAATTATTTAAATGTGAAAATTCATTTTTCCTTTAAAAATTTTCATGTTTCGGTCCATATTTGATCCATATTTTTGGATTTTAGTCCATATTTCAGTCCATATTTTCATATTTTTGAAAAATTTTTTTTCACAATCGAATATTTGAGAGCAATCCTCCACCAATAAAATTTTATTTGGGATGGATAGTTCAAGCATGAGATGTGATTTCAAAAGTAAATGTTGCAAAAGGTTTTTTGGGGTCGTGGAATTGGAATTCCACGTGACGGTTCCGAAAATGATGAAATAGTACATTGTTTTAGGCCAGAAGATCAGGCTTTATAAGCTTGAGAGCATAAAGAAATTTCAGAAAGTTAGGCAGAAATTGATCTTAATGAAGATAATGAAAACGGAATTGAAATGGATAATTCTATAGAGATTTAATCTTTGTTTTAAATTTATATAATGTTATAAAAATTAATTCTTATAGGTTAATTCTTATTACTATTTAAAAATTAATTCTTATTACTATAAAATTTACTTTAGAAAGAATATATTCGTGGAATAATTGCATTATACAAATATGGGGAAGTGTCTATGGAAAATTCAACACCGTGTTATCCGATTTATTTTGGCTGCACATGGAATTCGTGTTTACAGTATGATGGGAAGAGGATCATCGTAAACTTATTCTTCTTTTAAAAACATAACCATTATTCTAGTTAAAAAATCGAAAAACACTATTTTCACAATTTTAATTTTGGGAGTAATACAAAAAGAAATAATGTATATCTACCCCCAAGTTAAACAGTATTTTTAAAAATTGAATACCGTATCTTCTCTGAAATAGCCACCCTCTTGGAAGCGATATAAAAAATAGCCTTTGGGGGCCCATTTAGAGAAAATACGGCAGTTTAATATAAAATTTTAATTCATAAAATTTACATAAATATATTTTTTAAAGCAAGAAGGGTAAAAATGGGGATTTTGATAAGCTGAAGAAAAAAATAGAAGAAAATAAAGATAAAATTAACGTGACAGAAGAAACTATTAAGGATTCGGAATCAATTTATTTTAAGAAAGCTGATGAATTTGCACACCAATACAATCCACCTCAAACAAACATTCTTTTTCAGACGCCCGAAGATAATAATCCGAATTATTGGGAGGAATGGAATGAATCGACTAAAGAATAATTATGAGGGAAGAAAATTCGAATTTGTTAGAGAAGGAGAAGGGTTGATGAGTAAATCCCCAACAGAACCACATGTACAGTAAATGCAATTGTGTTTTTTACCCAAGTACAGCGCAAAGTCATAACTAACTGGAGAATTTCTGACCCAAATTAATTTTGTTACCAATTTTTTTTTCTCTTTTGTTAAGATTCGGAGATCTTTAAGCAAGTTATGGCTGCGCGCCTACTTGGGCTGTACCCTGTTTTTTATTATTTAAAAAATTTCGATTATTTAAAAATGGTATTTTTAGTACAACCCAAGTAAATTAAATGTTTTTAGATATTTGAAATTCCCTCTATTTTTTGATATAATTTTTGGCATTTTCACATTAAAAATGAATTTATGAGTATTTTTAACAAAAAGTACATACACCTTTTAAGCCAATGTTTTAGGAAAAAGTAGTACCTTGTTAGAAAATTCATAACATTTAGATAAGTGGGGCAAAATTTTTGATTTTTTGGTAAATCATTGATAACATTCAAACCTATATTTTTGCAAAACAAATTTTTATCGCAATTTTTTAAGTAAAATGATGAAAGTAAAAAAATTTTATTATTAAAAAAATCCCTCTTACATATACTACAGCCCCAAGAAGATAAGTATTTATTTACATATTAAATCTACATTGAATTGTAGTTTATTTGTTAAACAATGTAGTCTTTAGTTTTATTTTGATAAAGTTTTACATTTTTGGATATTATTTTTTCATAATTTCTCCATTTCCTTCTATCCGTTCTCAAAAATTTGAGTATTTAAAAGAATATTTATCTTCATTAATTCTAAAACCGCGATATAATAGAAAGGTTAGGTGATTGGGGGCTAATTAGTATCTACAATGTTCTAGCAATACAACGTTTCTTGCAGTCCTAAAAATTAAAAATCCTCGAGGAAGTCGGTCCCAGGGTAATAATTACGAATTACGGTGATTCTGAATTACGATTACGAAAATATCGGAAAAAATTATGAATTGCGAAAAAAAAATAAAAAAAATTACGAAAAAATATTATTACAAAAAACCCTCTCGTAGTTTGTCATTTAATTTTCGAAGGAAAAGGGAAAGGACTAACTGTGATGTTTTGTGTGGAAAAAAGTGGGGCCTGGTTCGAATCCATGATGGGGAAATAAAATTTAGACAGTTTTTATTTTCAAAAATAAATGTTTTTAAACTTTGATTTTTAATTTGTAAATTTATTTTTAATATTTTAAACATGAAAAAATCTTAGAATGTTTAATTTAGTCGTAAATTTTCTAAAATTTCCGCTTACGGCGCAGTAAAGTGATTTGTGATTAAAAGGTAAATAAAAAGATTAAAAGAAGCCAGGGGTTGGAAAATTTCACGGGTCGGGTTTCGGGTTGAATACCTATACCGAAAAATGCCGGAGCATAAGTTTCGGTGTTCCGGCCAGTATATATTCATATATCTTTAAATTCTATTTGTTTTCCTAATTTTACTATTTTTTATTTTTAATATTTAATAAATTTCCGTTTTGTATTATTATTGTAAACAACTTAAAAACAAAACTCTAAACATTAATTTTAAAAATATCTTTAAATCAATAATATGCATGACAGTGATCAATTAAGAAATACATTTTATCTATTTATGTATTTAAATATTTAGCTAGTAAAGGACTTTATTAACTAATAGCTGCTTTGATGATTGCGGATAGGCAAGAAATAAAATTAAATTTTAAGGGGCACAATTAAGCAGGCATCTATAACTGCCTCCAGACTTTGAACATAGTCAAAGTCGATGTTTACTCCTAATTTAAGCAGATGTTGTAGTTTAACAGCTATTAAGTATTTTCGATTCGGTTGTATCGAATATTTCAAAAATATTTTAATATAAAGTTACAAAAATTTAAGATGAAAATAATTTTTATTTTCATTATTTTATTCATTAATGCATTGTTTTGGAGTTTCATTTCTATGGGTGGTTCTTCTCGACATAAAGGAGAAGGGTCGTCATTAAGAGAATATGACAATAAAATTAGAAATAATTTGGCTGATATAAAAAAGAAGAATAAATGTACTGGTAAAAAGATGAAAGAAGTTTATCCAAGTGATAAAACACAGAAAGCGTTGATTGAACTTTATAAAAAGAATAATGAAAAATTCAGAGATGCTGTAAATATGACAAAAAATCGAAATAAAAAATGCTGGTTTGATCGCATTGAAGATGAGGAATATAAGGTAAAAGTGAATAAAATGTTCGGGGTCCATCCAGTTTAAAACTTTTAAGTCACACATTTAATTTCGGTGGCATTTTTTGATTTACTCTGTGGTTTTTAGAAAGAATATATTCGTGGAATAATTGCATTATATGAATATGGGGAAGTGTCTATGAATAACTTTTTAAAACATTTAAATATTCAACACCGTGTTCTTGAGTTTGTTTTGGCCGCATATGGAATTTGTGTTTACAACCATCATAAAAATACATCGTGAACATTTTCTATTTTAAAAATCACTGTTATTTCTAACATTTTAAATAATTATAATTTGTTTCAAATTTTTTCAAATAATTCGTTAAATTAATAACCAATAAAAACGAATTCTTTAAAATTCCTATTTTCTGTAAATATATCCCCGCAAGTTGATTATAATTGAATATTTTCGGGAATTAAATTTTTTAACACACAACTTTATAGATTATATTTTTATAGTAAAAATGTCATGAAAGAGGATCTTGACAAACTTTTAGAGAAAATTGAAAAAAATAAAAACACAATTAATGTGTCAAAAGAAAGTATTAAAGATCTGCAATTATTTTATACTATTAAAAAGTCCAAAAATACTGAAGAAACAGATAATGAAGAATATTCTGTTAAAGAAAATGATTCTGATGAGGCCGATGAATATCAACATCAATTCCAACCACCTTCACAAACAAATAATTTGTTTCAGACGCCCGAAGATCAAGATGATGATTATTGGGAGAAATGGAATGAATCGACTATGTAAATATTAATTGTGAGAGGAGTAAATTCAAGAATTGTTAAGAATATAAAACAATTATTTAGTGATTTTATAAATTATTTAAAGATTTAACAAAAATATTTTTCAAGCTTTATTATTTAAATTATTATAAATCATAGTTCATCAATCAGTGACCAAAAAATCTTGAATAGAATTTTGATCATAAAATATTTTCCCAAAATAATATATCCAAAGCAATTCTGATAAAATTAACACTCACGGCTGTTCAATTTGAACAAATTGAAGTTTTTATTGTATTAGGACTAGCTTTCCTCGACATTGCAACAACTAATCCCATCGTATACTAGGGTTGTTCCTCGTCCCCGTCCCCGAAAGTCGGGGAATTTGAGAGATTTTTTGATACACGGGGGGGGGGGGGCAAAAAATTCTGCCTATTAATGTTATTTTCATAATAAATATGAAATTTATCTTTATTATTCGACAGTCATGATGAAATAAAATATGTACTTTATAAAGCATAACGTGTAAATAAAGATATAGTCTGTGATTTTTATTAAGCAGTTTATTTTATTGAGAAATAATGTACTTTTAGGTGTAATACTTCTTTGAAATTATACCATGTACATGTCTTATACCGAATAGAATTTTCAAAAAATAGGAATACAGTTTCCAGACTTACCAATTTAATTCCTCATTTCAAGGAATGATAGTTTTAATTCCTCATTTCAAGGAATGTCAAATTTATTTACGTATTAATTTCAAATTTTTTAAATCGTAATTTGTAGTGTGAAAAAGGCTGGTTTAAAATAAGGATGTAAATTTATGATGGTCGTTATATATCTCGTATTAAAGATCGTATAAATTATTAAATATAATTTGAATTTTAATTGTGTAGCCGATTGTTCTGTTAATAATTCAAGTATAGGAACACGAGCCTTCTTCCTAATGTAATTTGAGTTATATTTGAAATTTTTGGTTAGAATATTTTTTATGAAAATAATGTTAAAAACTAATGTGTCTCTTTCTTCATTATTTGCATCTATTATTACTATTATATATCTAAATCAGAATCATTCTTGCTATTTGATTTGTTTGACTTCCAACTAAATGAACTTTCGTACTTCTTGACTATTTCTCTTTAACGAAATTTTTTATTCTATAATATTCTTTTTCTACCATTGTATTTTTTATTTCCGTCGGCTTCAATCTTGCATTGATTCTTTAAATTCTATTTGTTTTTCTAATTTTACTATTTGTTATTTTTAATTTTTAATAAATTTCCGTTTGGTAGATTATCAATATATACAACTTAATAACAAAACTCTAAACATTAATTTTAAAAATATTTCTCAATTAATGTATTTAAAAGTATCTTTAAATCAATAATATACATGACAGTGATCAATTATGAAATACATTTTATCTATTTATTTAATATTTAGCTAGTAAAGGACTTTATTAACTAATAGCTGCTTTGATAATTTTAGCGGATAGGTAAGAAATAAAATTTATGTAATTTAAACAAAACACAATAGAACAGATATCAATAAATGTCTCCATACTTTCATATTTCTGCTTTCAGTCAAAGTCCATGTTAGACTAGCTTATAATTATTAGTTAGCTTGTAATCTATGTAAGTTTTTCTTTGAATTTTTGACAGATTGTAACAACAATATTTATTGTTAGGATAATAAATTAAGCACATGCTGTTCTTTAAACATTTATTAAGTGTTTTCGATTTGGTTGTATCAGAAATAATTCAAAAATAGTAATTTTATTTATGTTAAGTCTAACAAAAATTTAAGATGAAAATTATTTTTATTTTCATTATTTTGTTCATTAATGCTTTATTATGGAGTTTTATTTCTATGGGTGGTTCTTCTCGAAATAAAGGAGAAGGGTCGGCATCTAGTAAGCAATACAAGCAAGAATATAGAAATAAAACGACAAATAATTTGGCTGAACTAAAAAAGAAAAATAACTGTACTGGTAAAAAAGATAAAAGAAGTTTATCCAAGTGATAAAACACAGAAAGCGTTGATTGAACTTTATAAGAAGAATAATGAAAAATTCAGAGATGCTGTAAATATGACAAAAAATCGAAATATAAAATGCTGGTTTGATCGCATTGAAGATGAGGAATATAAGGTAAATATGAATGAATAAAATGATCGGGATCTGTCCACTGTAGTTAATCATAATAAAGAAAAGTTTATAAGAAATGGCAAATTACACAGTAATTTTATTGGAATTTTTTGAGTTATTCTGTGGGTGTTATCTCTGATAAAAAATGAATTATTATTTAATTAATTTTAGAAAGAATATATTCGTGGAATAATTGCATTATATGAATATGGGGAAGTGTCTATGAATAACCTTACAAAATATTTAAATATTCAAGACCGTGTTGTCCAGTTTGTTTTCGCTGCACATGGAATTTGTGTTTACAACCATCATAAAAATAAATCGTAAACAATTTCTATTTTAAAAATCAATGTTATTTCTAACATTTTAAAATTCGCTAAAAACTTTTCAAATAATTCGTTAAATTAATATTCTTTAAAATTCCTATTTTCTGTAAATAAAATTATCTCCTCACAACTGAAAATATAAGTTATCTTTTCAATAATTCTTTTAAAATAAAACTTTATAAATTATACTTTTATAGTAAAAATATTGTAAAAAAGTATAGTCTTGATGAGCTTTCAGAGAAAATAGAGAATAATAAAAACACAATTAATGTGACAACAGAAACTATTAAAGATCTGGAATTATTTTATACTTCTAAAAAGCCAAAAAATTTTGAAGAAAAAGATAAGGAAGAATATCCTGTCACAAAAAATGATTTTGATGAGGCCGATGAAGATCAGGATGATGATTATTGGGAGAAATGGAATGAATCGACTATGTAAATATTAATTATGAGAGAACAAAATTCAAGCTTGCTAAAGTTAAATTCAGAGTGAACAAAAACTTGTTAAAGTTGAAATATAAAACAATTATTTAGTGATTTAACAAAGAATATTTTTCGAGCTTTATTATTTAAATTAATATAAATCATATTTCATTCATCAGTAACCAAAAAATCTTGATAAAATTTTGATCAAAAAATATTTTTCTCAAAATAAAATATCCAAAGCAATTACTTCAAACATTTACCCTACCCAACTTTATTTTAAAAATTCCCTAAAACAAAAAAATATATTTTTTATCTTTAACTTCCTCTCAATTATTTTTAAATAAATTATTTCTTTATTAAACTTTACGATTTGAAATTATTATAGGTCATTTATAAACATTATTGGACACTCAATCGGATCTTATCGAGTTTTCCCGTAAAGTTTTCTCTAATTCTAGCGCCACAGATTTTGAAATTTTTGGAAGACTACATATGTACAAAGTCATATTTCTTCATTTCTGCCAAAAAAGGCATTATTTAGGGGTGTAGCCTCGTTGGTTCTTGGAGAAGACCGAGACCGAGTTTCCGAAACCCGAGGCTGGTCAATCCGAGACCGAGATTGCAACCAAGACGGTCTCGGCGAGGCCTAGACCTCCTGCAATCCAAGTTCAAACATAGAATGCCGTAACTGTAAGCTTTAAGGCATTCTTCAGTATTAACCAATCTTTAAATAAATTTAAAAAATTCTGATTTTGCTAGATACATATTATCTTTCAGAACTTACCTTTAAAATGATATTTTTCTGGCTATATGAGTCACCTCTAATTTAAAAAATGCTTCTCTATTTCTTTTATTTTTTAACAACAATTCCACATACTTCCAGCCTTTCCTTTTATTTGCGTCAATCAACTCTCCCCAAAAATGTAAAGAAAAAATAAACAAACAAAACCGGCCTTCGCCACTTTTTTAAAGCTTTGTTTAAAAACCAAGGCCATTTTTCATAAATCGTATAAGGGGATAATCGATCTGAACCGAGCAATTTTTGTTTATTCTTTTATGTAATGAAATATATGTCAAATAATCTAGCTACATATATTTAATTAAATATTTTATTTTATTTTTAAATTTATACTACCTTTATTCTTTAAGGACATCCGTATATCCTCGGACAAAAATTTTTGAAATTAATAATTTTAATTCAAAAGCTATTAAATGTTATTTTGTACTTTCTGCTTTTTATTTCCCTTTATACTTATTATAATAAATAATTTCCTGTACTGTATGGCCCTTCCACCTCCTCCAGAGCTCTCAAGAGTTCAATTAGACTGTCATAGAATTCCTTCGAGTTTTTGCTGCTCAAATCGTATTAGGAGTAATTGTGCCCAGCTTTGTGCGTCATTACCAACTTCAACTGCCTCATGTTTAAGCTCGGCATTTCCTTCATCTAGTTCTTCAAAAGTACCAACGGTAGGCTTTAAATAGTATATATATTATATATTTATAATCCTTACCGCTACCAGTAGGATTATAAATTCGTCTAAAATTATCCAATGTCTTTAGCCTTAGAATTCCCTCAATACTATGTTGATCACGAATTGATAATCGGATTTTTACTCGTCAAGTGTTAACTTATTTTATATCATACTCGAACATATACCGAGCTATAATATTCGAAAACTTAATTTTATAATTCACATGCGTTAGATTATGTCCGCAGGGATCCTGTCCTAGGATATAATTATTTTTTTTTAATTTTTTAGAACATTCCTTCTCCACCTAACCCAGCTATTCCTTCATCAGTAACCTCTTTTGGAGGTTCCATCGATCTCCCTGGAGTTAATCTGCCTAATCCGGATGAGAAGTTTTTTGGAGTATTTGGAGGAAGCAATAAACGTCCTACAACCGAGGGAAACTTTAGAAATTTTGAAAAAACTGACAAAAATGATAGAAGAAATGAGCAAGGACCTAGTTGTGGGTGTTCAAAATTGGTATTGTTCGGGGATTACTTAGAAATTTTTTAGAATCTAAAATATTATTCCTATATATTCTTGTAACTTCAAGCCAGGAGGACTGTGCGCAACTATAGCTTTTACATAAAATAAAATTAAATTAGCACAAAATCTGTATTTGCGAACAGTTGCTAAAAATAATTAAAATTTATTTTTCTCAACATTTTTAGTCATTCCAAACTTCCAACCTCCCTTTCAATTAATTCTACCCCCGCCAGATTCACCTAATGCAAAAGGCACTCCCGTTCCTATAGAGGATCTGGACTCCACCGAACGAATGGAACAAACTCGAGTGGAACCTGCTATTGTTGAATCGACACAATTTCCAACCTTAATACCGTAATTTACTCTCAATGCTAAAATTTCTTCATTTTGTCAAAATTTTAGTCCACAAACAACGGCTAAAATTAAAGAAAAGTTTGCAGCTTCAATAGATTCAGCGCTAGAAAAAGTAGGAAATAGTGAAGAAAAAGTTGGAATTATAAAAACGGATGGGGGTGCTATCGACGGGACAGCTAGTAATAAAAAGAGAGGAAATACTAGAGCGAAGAACGGCCCTTTAAAATCAACTGATCTAATGAAGGAATTGGAAGAATTGGGTGATTATGAGGAAAATAAGGATGTTAAAGTAAATGAAAAAGTTTCTGGATCTGTAATTGCTGAAGGTATGGGTGATTTAAAATCCCTCAATAACAAAATGAAAAATTTTGATAATTATGTAGTTTTGGAACCTCACCAGCCAAGGACTACCGTTACAGAAAAATTGCCAGAGTTACTACCTAAAAATTTTTCTGAATTTCCACCACCACCAGCTAACCAACTTTGGAGTTTTAAAATTAAACCTAGTTCTCTTAAGCAACCGACAGCCTTGGAATTTTCACAGGGGAATGGAAGTAAGAAGGTGGACTTGGATTTGAATGGCAGATTTGCATCTGGAGAAGGTGAGAATTTATCATAGATTACTCTTGGTAAAGTAACCTTCCGTAGGCAATGTAAAGTTAGAAATAAAATTTATGCCACAAAATTCGAGACACGAGATACGAGACCTCTAAAAAATACGAGATTTCACAAGATACGAGAACGAGGTACGAGACGGGCGCCACCCCCGGCATATGAAAAATTCGTAAAATAGAAAATATAGGCACTCTGAACGATTGGAAATATGTACACTTGCCTTTTAGGACCAAAAAAAGACTTGAGTTTTAGATAATTTCCCGTCTTGAGGCAGTTATTGTCTTAATTTTTCGTGATACCTTAATTTATCAGAAATAAAAAAATTAAAAATTTTTAAATTCCAAATTTAATCAGAAATCGACTCCATTGTTGACCGTCTCTTTACCAACAAAGAATTACTTCGTTCCTTTGTTGTATCAATTAAAGACTTAAAAAATAAAAACAACGGAACCATTAAACCTTCAGAAAATACTTCAACAATTATTTCCTCGACAGAATCCCCAGAACAATGCTCTACTCCTCCCAAATTCATCCCCTGTGTTTCTCTTGAAAAGGCAAATGTTCAATTACATTCTTGTTGTGTTAAAAGATTAATGCCTGTTGGATGTCTTCCTTTATGTAGATATGACACTAGTAGAGAGGAAATTAAAATGGCTTTTGAAAAGGGGCAATGTGGGATTTTAAATATTAGTCCTGTATGTTTTTGAATTTATTTTTATTTCACTAAATTTCTAAAAACTTTTCGGGGAAGTTTACTGTTTGTAAGGTATATTTCTGGGTTTATAACTTTTTGGTTTCTGAACCTTTGGCATTGGGATGGAATAGTTCGGAACTTTTATGCCTATGTAGGGCCTCTCTCCACTTATTTCCCACCAAGGTCAATTAGATCGGATATGTATATCCATAAATATACTTTAGAAACCTTAAAATACACAAATTTTATTAAATGATTAGAGCTAAAGGAAAAAGGATAGAATGAAATAGGTCTAAGGAGAGAATATCTAATATAACGAGATGTCATTTTAATTTTCAACCTCTTCTCGGTGTAGTTTTATTAAAGACTGTCGTTGTAATAGAGACTGTCTTTATATTAGATTAAATGCGATATTCATTAACTTTAGTTCAGATAATATAATAGTTAAGATTTGTCCGTAGATTACAGAGTATTTAACTTTTTTTCATTTATTAGTTTTTGGAATGCGCTTCGCAAGGCCGGAATAATCTAAATTGTTGTAGACATAGACAAATAGCTCAAAACAGTGCCCAACAATGCGAGATATTCTGTACAGGAGAGAAGCTCTCACTTTTAGGATTACAACATTTAGTTTGCTCTACTTTGATACAACCAATTTTGGAATGTCACCATGCCGGTCTAATAGATGATAAAATTAAAAAAAATTTTTTTATTTAAATAAAGTTATTTCCCAAAAAAATTTCTCAGATTTTTTACATTTAATAAAATTTATCCAAAAATAAATTGAAAATTGCAGGATTTTATATTTAATTTTCCTTTTTTATTTATTTATGTTATCTTCCTTCTCGTTTAAAAAGCAGGTCATAATTAATTTGTGGTGATTATCGTTAAATTATTGGATTAAATCAATAAAACGAGAAAATCACATTTTTAATTTTAATTTTTAATTAAATATACTAACACAAATATTCCCCTTTCAAAAATTTTTTATTAAATATATTTTTCAAATTAATTTTATCTGTCTAATTAACACAATCACAAATTTAAAAATTTCTAAATCAATAGTTTCGTCAAATAATATTTTTCGAAATAAGACATTGATTAATTAGGATACAAATCCGTTATATGCCCACAAACTAATTGCCAGCCGACTTTGATTTGAACTTTTTGATGCTTGATTAATTAATTTTTTATCATTCGAATGTCCCTAATAAGCGGTATCTACATATTTTCCAATTTGATGGATCAGGTCTAATCACTCGATAAAAGTTATAATCCGATAAATAGTAATTCACCAAATAATATATCGGTTATAATTTATCGGGTTATAAAGCTGATTAAAATTCGCTGACATTCAAGTTGAAAACATATAACGGTTAAGTACCTTATTTTAATATGAAAATCTCCTAATCTCTTAATATTTTTCTTTCATATCCATGATTGGTCTTGGTTCGGTTTAGGTTATCCTAAGAGTTTCCCCGAACTGCCATTTTTATTTGATAATCAAAAAATAAAATAACAGTCGCATGGATCAAACAAATAAAAATATTCCTGTTTTAAAATCATTCTCTCGATTATCTCTCTTATTTTTAAAACAACGTTTTTGTTGTTGTTTCAAGTTGCCAACCAAAAGCGATAATTTTTAGAGAAGCGTCTTTCAACAAAAAAACTTGTTTAATTTTGTTGGCGCATCATTCTAAAAATCAAGAAATATTTACACATTAAAATAAAAGAATAAAAATCTTCTTTAATTAAATTCTCTCATCAAATCCTCGCATTCGTTGCCATCGGCAAAAAGCTTATTAGCGGGAGTGAACAACAAAATAATTAACTTTCGGTTTCCTTCATCTATATAAAATTTGGTATTAATCTCCATCCTTTCACTCAAAAAAAATTTTTTATTGAGAGAGATTTTTGCATTATATTTAACTTTAAATGAATAAAAATTGTCCTGAACTCTCAAAAACAACCAAAAATAAAAACAACTATAATGGCCCTCATAACGTTTTGATAACGGGCGGATGTGGATTTATTGGCTCCAATTTTATCAATTATATCTTTGATAAATGGCCTAGTTCAAAGTAAAGTAATTTTTTATAAAAATATTTTTACTTGATAATTCTTAAAAGTTATCAACTTATCAAAATAATTCCTTCAAATACCGCTGGAAGAAAATCATTCCAACTAATCTATAAGTTCTGGCAATAGAGCATTTTTGAAAAAAATCTCAGGGATTAATCACGAAATCCGGGAATTTATCTTTTTAAGAACCCATGATTTGAGATAAAAATAAATCGTAAAACCAAATTTCTGACAGATTTATCAATATCGACAAGTTGGCAGTTGGAGCATCAGCAGACCATGTCATCCCCGAAGTTAGAAAGTCTGGCCGTTATACTTTTGTACATGGTACATTGCTGGAACAGCCTTTGGTTGAGAGTCTTTTGAAGCTTTATCAGATAGATACGGTTAGTTTAAAAGGAAACTAGAGTTGCAGGGCAAATAAAAATTAGATACCTGACTTGAGGTTAATCAAAAGTAGATTCGTTTCGGTCCAATCACAACCCAAAACTTTCTCTTAAATTTCGAATTTTCGTTAAGGTTATTCACTTTGCTGCAATAACACACGTAGACGAGTCTTACTCAGACCGAGTTGGAACTATTCAAGAAAATGTAATCGCCACAACAACGTTATTAGAAGCAGTTAACACGCATGGGCAGATTAAACGATTTGTTCATATAAGCACGGGTAAAAATAATAAAAAAAATTTTTATTTTTTTTATTTTTCAAATATTTAGACGAAGTTTATGGTGACTCAGTAAATGAGAATGTACCCAAGGATGAGGAATCCCCTTTGAACCCCACAAATCCATATGCAGCTAGTAAAGCAGCTTGTGAAGTTATTGTCCGAAGCTATTACGTATGTGAGGGTTGTGAGTATTTTTTGAAATTCACATTTTTTCTTGTTCTGATTAATTTTTTAATTAATTTATTGAATTAAATCAATCAAGTTTTTGAAATTAGGAAAATATTTACAATTTCAAATTTAATTTCAAAGATAAAATTAAATTTCAATAATTTTCAGCACTCCTATAGGCTGCCATATGTAATGGTCAGGATGGTAAGCAAAATAAATTTTTGCAAAAAAAGTTTTCATTCAATCGAGCAATAGAGATTAGGGCCTGGAATGACCTAAATAAAAAATTAGTTTGGAAAGATAGCTTTCCATAACTGCAGATTGTTTCTGCAACTATTTTAGTAGCAGACAGCTCAGTCTGATCATTTACGGGATGTGAGGTTCCAAAATAAAGCTCAGCTCTCAAATTGGGTTGCCAGAATTCTTGATACCAAATCTGCTACTAAATTTTATCAAATGGGAATTCAAAAACTGCCCAGCAAGTGGCAGGAAGTTATAGATAGGAAGGCACATTATTTTGTTTCTTATGCGCAAAGGGCTCATTATTTATCTGACAACCCATTATTTAAAATTTAAAAAATTTAAAACACATTAAATAATAAAAAGTCACAATTTATATTGAGAATTCAAAAGTTATACCTCGGTTACCAAAGGTGGTACTAAAGCATTCAACCATCAACAAATTTACACAAACAAAAATTACAAAAATTTAAAAAAGTAAAGAAATAATGAATTAAAAATAATTTTAAGAACAATGTTTACGGCCCTAGACAAGCTTACTCCAAATTAATTCCAAAATTTACAAGGCTTGCCTTGGAAGGAAAGCCTTATCCTTTGATGGGAGATGGTAGGCATAAAAGGTAATTTGCATAATAAAAATTTAAATTCCTTCTGTTTAAGAAGCTGGATTTATGTAGATGATTGTGCAGAAGCTATTCGACTTGTGGTTAGAGAATTTTTAAATTAAAAATTTTCTTGATTTAGACAGAAAATGGGCAGAATGCTCAAATTTATAATATTGGGACAGACTTTGAAAAGTGCAACATTAACCTGGTATCCATATATTACAAAAATACATTTAAAATTTTCTAAATATTAGACCGAAATGATACACAATAAAGTTCAAAAGTTGATAAATAGGTAATTTTATCATTATAGAGTTAAAATATTATAGAGTAAAAAACATATATGACATATTACTTAAATTTATTCTATTAGAATGTTTTAATTACAGAGTTAAAATTCCAAAAAAAATTATCGTATATTCGATATGAACTCAACAGATTCTAATTTCCATTCGTCAATCAAAAATAGAATGATAATTTAGTATGATAATTTATAGTATGATAATTTTCACGAGAGTTACGGCTTTAAAGCTCGCAAATGGCGAAAGCCTTGTTCCAAGTTAAATAATCAAATCAAACTCTTATTATATAATCATCAATTTAATTACTCTGCTTTCTCAAAAAAATTTTTTAAAATTCCTTAATAATTTTAGAGAAACCACCAAAATTCAATTTGCCCCCATTGCTGACCGTCCATATCATGACAGGCGATATCTTATTGTAATTTTTAATTGAATTTTAAATTAATTTTAATTAATTTTCAAAGAATTTTAATAAAATTCGGGAAGAATTGGGATGGAAATGTTTGGTTCCTTTTGAACAAGGATTGACAAAAACATTAGCCTATTATTTGAAGGTATGTTTTTATTTGAGTTATTAAAAATAATTTTATTTTAATAGGAATATAATAAATTGCAACGAGAATTGACAACATTAGAGAGACCTCACGGCTAAATTTTTTATAATTAAATTTTAATTTAATTTAATTATTAATAATTCATTATTATAATAAATTTAAACAAATTTTTGTTTTTGTTTTATTTGTGAGATTGTTAATAGGTTATAATTAATAGGTCAAACTTTTATTTGTATTTATTAAAATATTTTCAATATTAAAATTTAAGATAAATATGTTTTGTTCTGTTAAATATCCAAATCAAAGCTAGAATGCCTGAGATTAGATTAATAATCAAAAATGATTGGGAAGAAGAAAGAGAATTTATTTATTTAAAAAATGTCAAAATAAAGGA